AATTCGCGACATTCACGGAAATTTTGCACATTCTGTGAGCGGTTTATAGTAGTAACATCAAAGAACGGTTGATCAGAAAGATTGTATGACGTGGAATGTATATCAGAAGATTGCATCATCTGTCCTTACGGGAAGCTAGGTGAATGCGCAAAGGAGGGCAACGTTTCTCAAATAGAAGCTAAAATTGTGGTGCAACGTATATATGAGAGGCCGGAAAACTCTAAGTGTGAGAATGAAGGAAAAGCTGGCTAGCAAAAGACGAGGAAACTGTCATCTTCTATAGGGAAACATAAGATTGAGGCACATAATGGTATCGTCGATTCGTTGAGTGTACGGATTGGACATAACCGCGGAGCACGCGCCGCGAGGTAAAACGCTTGCTCCATTACAAACTCGCCATTGTTGAAACAGGGCTCAGCACAGCTGGCACCGGGTCATGCTGGATACCGTTTTTAGCGCGGGAAGCAAAAGGGATATCGTTTCTACAGCGGCCGAGGCGGAGAACTGCCGCAAAAATGCCGCCGGCATGCCACCGGCATGCCATTGGCAAGCTGTCCATCAACAAACAAAGGCGTTGTTTTCAGCCAAAACGCAATAGTATGACACCAAATTTGGTGTGTGCATGCGCGTTGGTGGACCGGAACTACGGGCCAAAAATTTATGAAAACTTATGTGAATGAAAGCTGTGCCCAACTTTTTTCTGAATTAGCTGGCACCGTGCCAGCTGGGTGCCAGCTGAGCTGGCACCGACACTTTGCTCACATAAGTTTTCATACTTTTTTTACATAAAATGTATCTACACTGTAAAAGATTACATACGGAGAAGAAACAGTTTCATAAAGTTCTCTTTTCAGCGTTCTATAGCAATTTGAAAACCACTCGGTCCGCTCGGCTGTCGAAAAATCTGCTTTTTCTGCTTCTTAAGATGTGATTCGACCACTTAAAAAGCTCAGAAAGCTGTGAAAAGTTCTTTCATGAAATCAGAAATGCATGAAAACACTACTACATTTTTTTACATAATATAAAAATGATGACGGGTTTTCAAAACAGGTCAAAAGGGACTTCGTGCGAAATTTTCAATATCAAACGGGACTTCGTTTTGAAATTTCCCTGGTGCCAGCTCGTGCCGAGCCCTGTGTTGAAATCGTGCTCTCGCAACATTTTAACCGCGCCGCGCGTGGTCCGCAGCTGTTGAGCAATCCGTACGGCCGACGAATCGACGATAACTACTTTGAAGTGAAGTGTACAGTCTTAGCGCAAGAGATTGAGATATCGGCACGAAAAATGCTGAAGGCAGCGTAGGTCTGCACCGGAAGTCCGGGTATGAACAACAAAAATGAACGCGTGACTATAACAAGTGGTCTCTTGCCTTTTATGTCATTATGCGACTAAAACGCACAGTTTATAAAGTCCTTGGCACACTGAAAAACCTCATTGAGGTCCGTCACTACCGTGCGGACTACTGACTTCTAGGTACACTAGAGGTTAGTGAATCCATTTTGGATTGTTTCGGCACGTTGTGCCTTGACGCGATTTAAAAGACGGAAGTTTGATGAGGCGTTTGATTGTCTGCAATCCCCTTTCAGATTTCCGAAGAAGAAGATATTTGTCGAAATTTCAATAAAGATCCACTTTAACAACCTGAATGGGAGAAGCACTACACATTTAATCAGATAACTTTTTTGAGACCTGATGAGCTGCGCAAATGGAATCTACATTGACAGAAAGGTGGCAGAAAATTATGTGCAGCTTCAAAAAAGCGGTTCTAGCCGTATATTGATAGATTTTTGTCATTTTGTTTATTTACGTAAAGACTGCAAACCTATAGAACAAACTAAAATAACTCACTTGAAACACCAAAAATAAAACATTTTTTATGCTTGTATTTGCAGACGAGAGATTTTTGTGTTATTGGCCATGCCTCACGCAATTTCAGTCGCCAAGCGGTCCGGAAAATTGCCGTATGTCTTCAAATTCATTACTGGCAGATCGCAAATGCGCTCTCTGTAGCACGTTCGTAAATTGATAGTATGTCTTATCAATTGATAGTATGTCCCTCTCCATATGCAAAATGCGAGCAAGATGAGTTATGGACAATTAAAGTACTGCCAATCGTGTCGCAACTGAGATCGCATGAAATATGGCCAAGGCTTATAGACTGTGTCGGCCATTATCGCTCGTAAAAACACAAAAGGCTGCGCATGCACCGAAGGAAGTTTCAATCGAGTGCGAAAATTGTCCTGCAATCAGAGTTGGAAGGAGCAGCTCCTGTTTTTTTTTTTGGTGTATCTTTGCCTATCTGGGCTCTTCATTCCCATATTTTTCGTCCGTGCGCGTGCGTGGATATGTTTTTCCTGTTTCAGTGACAACCTCCATTGCACACTCAATTTTTTTTCTCAACTGGCCAACAGTCTCTTGTTCGGGCAGAGTACTTTTTGAATCAAAGCAGCATAAAACTTACAAGGAGTGTCAACTGAGGTCGGCCTTTTGAAATGAGACACATATATTTGGAATCAGCTCGGAACACTGATTCCAAATATGCTGTCCTTCTGCGATGCGTTCGTCTGAAGCAAGTTACGAGGTCCTTTTCGCGACTTGCTTCAAAGTAATGTCTGTTAAAATATTAAAGTTAACTAGCGATAAAAGAGAATAGCTAATTTATGGGTAGGTCACAGTCTCACTGTTCGCATAATAATATCACCAATAATCCGCTTTCAAACATTATTGAATGGAGGGAAAAGCAAAAGCGTTGGCGAAAGCCGATCCCCTGACCTTCTGACTATGAAAGAGACACTTGCCACTTTACCAGGAGCACACTCTGACTTATTGCTAGCCTTTCACCTAGACCGCCGGCGGAATGCATAAGTCACTGTAGGACTGCTCTATGGCAGTAAATATCAGTAATTTCTACATTTCCAAAAAGCAATGATCCTAATTTGCTTGAATTAGCTCCAATCTCGGTATTATCCTTCACCCAACCACTTTGGATCTCCGTCATTACTCCGAAGCGAGTTACGAAAAGGTCCTCGTGACTCGCTTTAGACGAATGCTTCGCAGCTAAGGACGGCATACTTGAGATCAGCGTTCCGAGCTGATTATATTAGGTTGTAACAGAATTAATGCAGGTTTTCTGAATTTTGTGTTTGGATCACTATAACTTTTTACACAAGCAGTCTTTTCGTGTGCAGCAAGAATTGTTGTAATCAGCAAACCTTTCTCAACTCAATATGCATTATTTTGTTGTTGTAGCTTCATTGAGAAAAATCTTATAGCCCGAATTCTGCCAAGAATTTTTTCGGAAAACCTTCACTTTAAGAGACCATAACTTACTACCAAATGTAGTAAGGTAGCGCAAATATAACTCACTGTGTAGTCTATGATCGGTTGTGCAGCAGGGCTAAATTCGGAATTGAAAAAGGATTCTTTGCGAGAGGATATTTGAAAAAATTTTGAAAGTACTCATTTTTTCGACTTTTCTGAGAATTTGAAAAATCGCTTTTCTGGAACTTTTGAATTTTTTCAAAGCTGAATAGGGAAAACGGCTTCCGATTTTTTCAGCCATAAATGTCTTAAACCTATTCTTCCTATGTAAAGCCGAAGCTCCGCAGTCGCTTCGCGCTGAGGATTTTTATGTAGGGCAGACAGACCACAGCGACCGTTGAATTTTGTCTGAAATTTCTCGGCTCAGATGTTTTTAGAATTCATGATTCAGCATGCATTTTTTAACATAGCTCACTCAAAAATATTATGTAAATTTGCAGCGAATTCCGATTGTTTCTGATGGTTTTAGAGCCAGGTATGTTGAGAGAGAGAATTTCGAGGTTTGGTTTCTTGAGTTCATGGGCTCAGAACTTCTAGACAAATTCACTTCCACTGCAACGAAAGAATGCATAAGAAATTAGAAGAAAAGAGCTTTCAAATGACATGCAAGACTCTCTGGGAGGACAGTTTTTCTTTCTAAACCAGCAATCTGAAAAAGGTGAGCGAAAAACCTGCATTAATTCTGTTACAACCTAATAAATATATGTGTCTCATTTTAAAAGGCCGACCAAAGTTAAGTGACTTCCCTTGTTAGTATTATCCATCCTATGGCTGGACCGCTCTCCCTATCATTTGAGGTGGTGAATTCAGAATGGGTAAAATGTTTTAATTTGTTCCCATATGTGCCCAACTTGTTCGCTATTCTCTCAGGCTGACAATAAAACATTGCGATTGTAAGCGATTGTAAGAATGAATGACAGCATTTCTCAATGATAATTTGTTGCTTGGCTGTTCCGTCGAACGACGCCGAACATCCGATATGGGCATATTTTATGAACGAAAAGATGATGCTATAGGCTGCTGCATGACGAAGGCGCAATACCTTTGGGCGCGAACGCGGCTTTATTAGCCGCAGAGCGCATGAGGTGCGGGATCTACAACAATGAGGATACGCGCGCGTCGCGTTCGCGCACGTTCACCCAATATCGCCATTGCGCCTTCGTCATGCAGCAGCCTTTAGGTTTAAGCGCAATCAGTCGCGCTCGAGAACTAATTTTCTCCATATGCGGTGAGTGCGGAGCCTTACACAGGGGCCGGCACAGATGCTATGGGGTCAAACTGGCTTTCGTTTTTGGGGTAAAGAGCAAAGGAGATATCGCTTCTGCAAGGTTCAGAGCGGAGTTCCGAATGGGAAAATATGTCCGGTTTGCGTTGAACGAGTAATTTCGCAAGCGCGCGAATCTCAGATGCAGACTAAACAAACAAAGGACTTGTTTACAGCGCACAGACAATCACATAGCACGAAATCTGGGTTATGTGTACACAATATTACTCCAAATTACATTGTGTAAAAGTCTCAAGAATGAGACTTTTAAGAAGAGTCCCAAAACCCATCCCCGAATTTGTTGTTTTCTGAATCGACACCTAACCAAGTGGGCCGGATAGGAGCATATAAATATGAGCTCACACCGAGAACATCACGCGGTGCTGTAGTCACGTTTTGAGATAAAGTCACCTACCGCATCTGCTTCTGCATTGACATCATGGCTTCGAATTCGAGTTCTTGCCAACTGCGAGCACCATATATCACGAGCTGGGCATGTGTCGTAATTGCCATCATTGAAAAGAACGATGAATTTTGACGGATATGCAGCTTTCTAAAAAATAAATTTTATGTAAATTACTGGAATACTCCTGAAAGCTGTGTCTTGACAAATGGTCTACAATCTGTTTCTTTTGTATCCATTCTTTGATAAAGCATAGGCCAGCAATAAAAGACAATAGTGCTTTCTTATGTTAGGCGTGCAGGAGGGGGGGGGGGGGGTGGGGAGTTTTTTGGCTCTCACCAATTTGAAGCTCAGGTTCAATGCTTCAACAAGCCTCGGCGCAGCTGAAACTGGGTCGAGAAGGATCTCATCGTTTCTGGAAAAGTAAAGGAGATATTGTTTCTGGAGGTTCCGCGGCGAAGAGCCGCCCGCATGCAGCCCGCATGCAGCCGGCATGCAAGCGGAATGCTATATCCTAACAAATAAAAACGCTGTTTACAACCAAAATGCAACGATGTGACAGCAAATTTGATTGCGCCAACGCGTGAAGCCGTGAAGTCGAAATATACCTTAAAAATCTATGAAACTTATTTGAATGGAACCCGTGCCTAACTTTTTCCCGAAATAGCTGAAATCGTTCCATTTCAATTAAGGATCCGATCTTTTGCTTAAATTATTTATTATAATCCCTTTCAGCATATATTGTACCCACTGAATATCATGAAGTCAATTTCGAAGGAAGAAGATGCCGAACGATGGTCAGATATGTTTACCAAGTTTTTAACAAAGACCTTCAGAGCGTTTCACGTTTTCCTGGTGTAATTCACCAACACTGAACAACGGTCACCTTCACAGAGGCGAATCAAGGCAACGCTGGAACCTGTTCCCACACACTTAGAGCAATGCAATATTACCACGTTTTACTCATCCTTCGCAACATGTAATTTATTACTTATTTTGTAACAATATCCCGAAAAACATAATAATGATTAATTTCTCTCCCCTCATTAAGTTCGTTCGCACTTCTTAAACTAAAGGCAACACAAGCGCAAGTTCTTTCAACAGTGCTAGTCAAAACTATAGATCCACTCTAAAAACTGCCATAGTTCATCTGCTTCTCAACGAATTGATCTGAGATTTGGTACAGCTGTGTGTTCATCAGGCTTCCATCAGCGACCGGAGCGGATCCCGCTTTCGTTAGATTATTCAGGAAAAAATCAAGAATTTCGAAAAAAGCAGGCTCGAAGGTTGGCCAAAACTATAGATCTATAGATCCACCTAAAATTTCTGTCTGCTAAAGTAATTCTCGGCTTCCAAAGTCTCTTGCGCATATACATGGTCGAAAGTCAAAGCAGTGACTTTAGTCCAGCTGTGTCATACCTTTATAAGAAACGCTTATTTGCTTTTTTCACTCAAAAAGTAATTCTATGCGTATTTTGTTCCCGAGAATGTGTTATTATAGAGGATTCCGCACTTTTTTAAGTGGTTTAAAAGTGATAGGGTTCCATCTATCTTATAGATGCTTAACAGTGTGAGCACTAGAAAAAAATTCGGGTTCTCGTATCCAAAACGCACCCGACATAGACTTAACCGCAGGCCTGCGTTCAAATTTATGCCTTCAAACTCTTTCTGCAATGTTGTCATGAGCGTGAACTGGAGTGATGGCATTGTTAGTACGTATGAGAGTCCGTATGCAGTGGTTGCAGATTTCCGCGGATCCTTATATGCAGGCTAATTGAGGACTTCATTCTGCAAAAAGTGATTTGCAACAAGCCTCAAAGTTTTTTGTGGTTCTGGCCATGATGCTTATGTGAGTCACAAGGCAACACACAATGCAGCGGGTATTCATTGGTTAGCAGCTAAATAGTGGCAAAATTCAAGGAAGGTACCACTTAGTAAGTACTTTGAGATTGCAGAACACACCGCAAGAGACTTATGCTTTAGAAAAGAATTAAAATGCGACTTCGCAAACAATTGTGACTACAGTTTACAAACTTCTTTTTTATGTGAATGATGCTAAATAATGCTTCTACACTATTTTGAGCTTACAAAATATCGTACAGCGATTTTGAAAGCAATAATTCGGGCGCAGGCCTGCGGTTAAGTCACGTCGGGTGCGCTTTGGACACAAAACTCGAATTTTCTTCTGCTTCTCACATTGCAAGCATCTATAAGATAGATGGAGCCCTATCACTTTCAAACCACTTAAAAAATGCGGAATCCTCTATAAAAACACATTCTCGGGAACAAAATATGCTTAAAAATATTTTTTGAGTGGAAAAAAGCAGATAAGCCTTTTTTATGAAGGCATGACACAGCTGGACTAAAGCCACTGCTTTGACTTCGACTATGTATATGCACAAAAAACTTTGGAAGCCGAGAATTACTTTAGCAGACAGAAATTTTAGGTGGATCCATAGTTTTGGCCAACTTTCGAGCCTGCTTTTGTCGAAGTTTTTGATTTTTTTCCTAAATTATCTAACGAAAGCGGGATCCGCTCCGGTTACTGATGGAAGCCTGTTGAACACATAGCTGTATCAAATCTCAGATCAATTTTTTGAAAAGCAGATGAACAACGGCAGTTTTCAGAGTGGATCTATATTTATGGCCAGCACTGTATTTAGATGCCTCAATCCTCTCAACTCAAGCTTGACCTTGCGACTTGTGACACCCGATACAAATAGGTAGGAGTAGATCGCCCTCTAATGTGAGTTAAATGAGCAATCTTAAAATTGACAGTAAGTCGAGCAACTTCTGATGTCGCGATTGCAAACACCGTCGTTCACTGTAGCAAGACTCGTATGGCCGTATTCATCAAATCAAAATTAAAATCTACGTAATGGTCAGCTGGCTCACTAACGCTTGTTCGGGACAAGCCATGACCTATTAGAGGTGTATGAACTTCTTCGCTGTTACTGACTCTTTTAACGCCAAATCGGTACAGCCTCATTTGCGGGTCCACATTACCATGTTTCGGCAGGAAACATTCTAGGAACAAGTAACACATTTCATCATGGTTCGGAGAGGCATTTCAATTCTTTTAGGTACAAAGCTACGCTTCATGGGTATCAGAATGCAAGTAGAGTTCAATTTGAGCTGCACCGTATAAACCGGAAATTTACTTGTGTGCCTCTGTTGCGTCAAATTTCGTGTTTAACTGTACACTTGAATAAGCGTGCATTACTGCGTTATAGTCCTGTATTTGGTGTTTGTAGTCTTTGTATCAATAATTTTTTACTCACATCTGCTGCAAAACAATGCCTTCTGACCAAAAATCAAGCCCTGTTGAAAAAATGTTTTAATCCAAACACCTCTTTTGAGCCGCTTGCAACGATGTTGAAAACAAAATGAACCTTGAAAGAAGCAAGCCACCTTTAGTAGCTATTCCAAGATACAGTTTGCCTCTATAGAAGTCGCCAAGAACTCGCGAGACTTAACAGTACAAGAGCGTGCAATTCATCAAACTTCTGGCATCACTGCGCCAATCTCACTATTGCTATTAGGACATATACCTTACTCTTGTGCTGCATTGCAAAAACAAACACATGCGTCAAAACGTATTCCATTCACTGTATTATTATAGTACCAGCTGGCTTACTCGGCTCCGCCCGACTCTATCAAAAACGATAAAGGTTCCGTTCCTATCCCTGTACAACCTTTCTCTGTGCCCACTTCTACCTGAAATTCCCTATTTGTTAGTAACCAGCTAACCTCCCTCACTCGCCAACCCCCAGTCCTCTAGCTCACACTTTGCAAAATAATCGATAAAATCGATAAAACTAATGGATTATTTCAAAAACTAATATTGTGTTTGTAATCAACATGCTTGATTACCCCCCTAAGCCAACTCCCAGCCCCGCAGGTCGAACTTTACAAAAAATCGGTAAAAATCGGTAAAAGCGACATCGATCGATGACAAAAAGTAGCCTATGACGCCCGCCCCGCCCCGAAGTGTATGTGTGCAAAGTTCGGTCCGCATCGATGCAGAAATAAAATTTTCTATTCGGAACATACGTACATACATACATGCAGACAGACAACGAACGGACATCCAGCTTTATATATAAGATAAGGGGCTAAGATAAGGGGCACACAGATATGTGACACAGTAGCTTTCTGGGATTCAACTTAAGCTAGTAAGCTTGCATACATGTGCAAAAATCCACTCTTCGTGTAGTAGGCTTCCGTAATGTCCCTTGCTAAAACATAAAAAAAGGCTTCGCCCCCTGCTAATTTTTCCAGCTACATAGTAGCTACGTATTCTACTACCGTTCAGCAATTAGAACTCACTGGAAAGCATGCCTAAAGTTTCTCAAAAGCTATGCTGGAGAATTTCTTTTTTATTCCATAACTCAATTCATAACTCATTTTATACCAAACTTAACTTGCAAAGTAACCGCGGAACCGTAGTGACTTCCGGTCTTTGCGTGCAATAAATCGCCACTATGCGCTTTGCCTCACCAATGACAATGGCAGCTGCCAAAATCTGAAGAAAGTGAGAAAGCTAAAGCAGCTACCACTTTTATTTAGTGAAAAACGAAGTTTTGACTCGTCTCGTAAGATCTGACCTTCTCAGGTGCAATTGGTCCTCCTACAAGGGCTAGCGTGCAAGCGGTTGACATGAGCCTAGAGATTCCGTGCGTGCGGCAAACAGCTGAAGCGCCATTCAAGCGGCAGGCAATGTTATCGTGCAAACGGCCGACAATACATTTGCTCGACGAGCGGCCAGCAGATGTGTCCGTCTTTTCGGCCGGCAATACTCTTTGACGTGCAAGCGGCCAACAGTGGCCTATATCTTCTTCCCACGATTTACACACATTGTGAGCGCAAACGGTACCTGCGTGAGATACAACGCAGCGTTTAGGCTGTCCTAAGCGTTGACATATCGTATCATAAACGTTTTCCTTCGCCAGCAAGGCTGGAATGTATATGTGTGAGGTCACAGTTACCAAGAGTGATGATGTGGGCTTCCCTATAGGTTTGATCAATGCTGTAGGCATCGATCCAATTCCCGGGAATGTAAACAGGAGTAACATATCCAAGAAAAATGTAAAGGTATCTTAAACAAAATTACGCCAACAGCAAGCGAGCAATTTACCTTCTCCGCGCAA